ATGTTCAGTTGAACCCAGTTACATTGTTGTGCATGTTCAGGTGAATGCTTGATAATTCCCAACCATGCAGAGAACAATTACTACATTCAGCCCAATAAAGTCACAACTTTGGTTTAGACTTCCTCCATCCACTTGGCAAAGTCAGGGTGATAAGAGTAGACCTAGACCTAGATCATGCAACCCTGTGTCCTCAATCCCACACCTAGACAACACTTGAGGGGAGATTATGCAACACCACCAGCTTTGAAAATGTGATGGACCTTCAGTCTGTTGGCAAATCTCCAACCATCTTCCTTTCTTCCCTCTAGCCCACCCTGGAGTCATCTACAAAGAAAATGTGTGTTGGGGGTATGGAAGATGTCTCCTTAGTGGTCCCAAACAGTAGTCTGGCTTGCCATATTTGCAAGGGCATTTCCCAAGGAATATCCACTGTCTCCCATCATAACAGATGATGGGGGGATCACTTGCCTGGGATGAATGCCCTTCTCACTCTCTGTGGATCTGCTCTTATACGTTCAGTTGCCTCAATCAGCTGCCAACTGCACAGTGATCATCTCATAGAGGCATATAACTCAATTGACTTCGTAGGTTAACATATAATGTCATCCTGTGAAGGCATTCAACTCAAGCTATCATAAACTATCTATTTTATCAGCCAACATAAAATGCAAAAAGAAAGAGGTTTGGGTGGGCGGAGACTTCCATGTGAGTGACTGCCAGAGAGGATCGAAGATGGATTTTTTAAATTTCTTGCCGTGCAATGACTGGGAGCCCCTCCCCCAAGTGCTGCCGGCACCTGAGATGGGAGATTAGATGGCAGGCAGCACATCTCCTGAAAACACCTCTGTTGCAACAAGGACACCTGGGAAGAAGACACCCAGCATGGAGGCTACTGGTGGCACCTCTCCTCTCTGAGATGCAAACTGGGTTCCTTTTAAAAGTACAATGTGATCATGGCTTACACTCTGCATAAACATTTCTGCATCAGCCAAGACCAACTCTTACTTTTTAAAAAATATCTTTCATAATAAGCTGTCCTAGATATTTTTGTTTCAAAAAGTACCGAACTCCTAGTTTCAAAAAAGGAAACTGAAGTTAAATCCTGATGCAGTTTTTTCATGATTTCAATATGATTTTCAAGAACAGTGAGTCTTCTATATTACTATTAAAATATAGCAGCTAGTGGACAACTTTCACTCTGTGAGCCTGCAGGATGAATGGACAACAGAATTATGGCTTTAGCTTCAGTTCTGCTGGGTGCCCTTTTAAACTACTTTCAGGAAATCAGTGGTGATCCATTGCAGTTCTGCAGCTGAAGAAGAAACTATGAAGCACATATTACAAGTACTGTATAAATTTCTGACTATAAAGAAACAATTCTGATGCTGAAATCTATTCTGAAGTGTGCATGAATAATAAAAGTAATCTATAGTGCAATGGCATATTACTGATGCGAATAAAGAAACTTAAACATGAATCCATAGTGATCACAATAACAATTAATGATTACAGTACAAAAGACCTTTGTAAGTTATCTGTAGATGGCACCAGCAATTGATTCTTTATGACACCATCATTGCAAACATTGAGCAGAGTTGAATGAGCTCCTCTGAACACATATTACCATTTTAATATATCTAATGGTGTCTGAAAATTCCAGCCACTGAACACAAATAAAATTGATGGTAATGATCACAGACAACATCCTGTGAAATTGAGGTAGAGTTCAGGGTCAAGGAGTTTAAATTACACTCACACATCCTTAGCTGTGTAGCTGCTTCCACTGAAAAGGCAAAAACTAAAGAGCTGTGTTTTCAGTTGTAGTTTTGGAAGATGTAGCTGTGTTAGTCTGTGCAAGCATATTAGGCAAAATCCAAAGGAAAAAAGCAAGACAAGACAAGAACATGTGACACCTTAATCTCCTGAGGAATTTTTACAACAGAGCCCTAAAAGAACATAAGCCATAAGTTACTGCATGTAAGTATACAGTGGACCCTCGACTTACAGATGTAGCTGCTGCCACAGAAAAGGTAAAATTAAGAGCTGTCTTCTCAGTTGTAGTTTTGGAAGAGGTAGCCATGTTAGTCTGTGCAAGCATATTATGCAAAATCCAAAGGAAAAAAGCAAGACAAGAACATGTGACACCTTAAGCTCCTGAGGAATTTTTACAACAGAGCCCTAAAATAACATAAGCCATAAGTTACTGCATGTAAGTATAGAATACATCCAAGAGCCAATGAATATTTAGTATGAAACTGATATTTCATTCTGTTTCCATATGCCTGACAAAGTGGACATATCCAAGATCCAATGAATACTTAGTATGAAACTGATATTTCATTCTGTTTCCATATGCCTGACAAAGTGGACATGTCCATGAAAGTTCACATTAAAATACAATAGTTAGTCCTTAAGGTGCCTCATGTTTTTGTCTTTTTTCTTTCTTTTTCTTTTTGCTTTGTTTTGTTTCTTTGGATTTTGCCTAGTATACAGTATGTTCTCAGTGTATCGAATACTTGGCACTTTGTACCTTATTGTTCTCAGTATATCGAATACTTGGCACTTTGTACCTTATTAGCTCTTTTCTCCCTGTTTTGGGGCAAATCATGAATGAATGAAGAGATCACTTATGTGCACTGACCATTCATAAAATCTAGGACTCTGTAACATTCACAAAAGCATATCAGCCAGAGGCCGGCATAACTGGTACCTTTAAAATAGGTGATGTTCTTATTAGAAGAGTATTATTGCCATAGTTCAGGAAAATGGGTCATCCACAGTAGATAAGCTGAAACATTTTTTACACTTAAACGAACTCATGAAAATATCATTTTTTTCAAGTCTTCAGGTTTCAGTGGGAAGGCATGAATGTGTCAAAACATAATAAACCAAGAAAGATAAGGGCGCAATGTTACTGCTTTTGTTAAAAGTTATAGACTGCATCAAGGAAGCTGACATTTCTATTCAGAGCATTGGTTTTATTTTTACCATCATTATAATTTTTACAGCCAGATGTAATGCCTTCCTCCTGACTGCTTTTTTAAGCATGACAATAACACTCGGGGGGGCAAGATGAGAACCAAGACAGGCATGGGGGGAGGGGAAGCCCCCCTGGTGTTTTCATGAAATTGACACATTGCAAAAAATGTTACACAGGTTTCCAGGAGCAAAGACTCCAGATTCAAACCCAGATATGTCCATCCTGACAAAAGATTTCTGTCTAAAACACCAGGGAACTATTGCCTGGCAGACCAAAACTAGGCAATATGTTGTTCTTATATCTAGAAGCAGTGCTCCTCAAGTGGTGAGAAACATCTGATTGTAAAAGTTAGTTAAACACATTGGAATGCAAACACTGCTTTTTTGCAGGTATACTATACTAAATAGCTATGATTATTTGTAAATAATCATAGATTACTAATTTCCTGTCATGATGTATGGAAGTGAGAGCTGGACCATAAAGAAAGCAGACCGCCGAAGAATTGATGCCTTTGAATTGTGGTGCTGGAGGAGGCTCTTGAGAATCCCCTGGACTGCAAGGAGAACAAACCTATCAGTTCTAAAGGAAATCAACCCTGAATGCTCACTTGAAGGACAGATCCTGAAGCTGAGGCTCCAGTACTTTGGCCATCTCATGAGAAGAAAAGAGTCCTTGGAAAAAACCTTGATGTTAGGAAGGTGTGATGGAAAGAGGAGAAGGGGACGACC